TCTGTCCGTTCTTATCTCGAATATACAGGCATGGATCTGCATCGCTGGCCTTGAATACATGTTGTTGAAGAAAGACTGTAAGACGCGTGTTCCACCACCTGGGTGCTTGCTTCAGGACGTAAAAACTTCTCTTCAACTTGCAGACCTTGCTGAATCCATCTTCATAATTTGGTGGTTGTCTCATAAATAAGGTTTCTTCGAGTTGTCCATACAAGAAGGCTGTTGATACATCAAACTGCATCAAATGCTGCTTCTCACTCGATGAGATGCTGAGTATCGATCTTATTGTTTCCATCTTTGCCACTGGACTAAAAGTTTCATTGTAGTCAATGCCGTAACGTTGACTAAATCCCTTGATGACGAGTCTTGCTTTAAACTAATCAATGATTTTTCTTCACCTGGTTGAAGTTAGGTTAAAGTCCACGAATGATTTTCTTTTAACGAGGCGATTTCTTGATCCATGGCTTTCTTCCACTCTGCTGAATCCTCGCTCCTTAGGGCATCTTCAAGCGTCACAGAATGTTCAGTCATTTGATTCACGACCTCTTCTACTATCATGGCGTAATATTCAAGATGTTGGGTCTTCTTTAGGGTTGAACGATCTTCCATTACTTTCTTGTTTGTCTCTTCTTTAGTGTTGGACTCAAACTCTTCTTCAGTGTTGACTGATGGCTCATCATGATCATTTTCTTCGGTCTTGATTTCTGCCTTACATTGACATCGTCTTTGATCTCATCTTGACTTTCATTTTCGTTGTCTTTTAGTGGTAGCTCGACTTTACATTCACATTCTTTTGGTCTCTCTTCGAATTGAACATCTCTTGATACGATGACTTGATAAATGTCTGGACTATAGGTTCTGTAACGTTCGCAAGCATCGTATCCTACAAGCACACCTATAACTGCCTTCTTGTCCATCTTGTTCCTCTTTTCAGCTGGTATATGGACGTAGCAAGAGTATTCAACAATTCGGAGAGGTTTGATCCTGGGTTTCTTCGCCATCCACAACTCGTAGGGATTGACTCCTTCCTTGGATGATTTTTCTATTAAGAATGTATTTCTATTAAGAATGTAGACTCCTGTCGTCACTAGCTCTTCCCACATTGCATCTGGAAAATCAACTTCTTAGCTCGAATACTTCAATGTCCTTGACATTTTCACAATCGTACGATTTTCGCGTTCACTGACACCATTTTGTTCTGCAGTGTATGGCGCTGTCAGTCTCTGGACGATTCCACTCTTTGCTAGAATGCTTTTGAATTCTTTGCAGTCAAATTCCCTGCCGTTGTCGCTGAGTAGCTCTTTAATGTTGTGTCTTCGAATGTGCTAAAAATTGATTTAAAACGTCTTTAACATCTGACTTATGTTTGATTATAAGCCATGACGAAACTGTCTTTAAAAAACAATAAAAAACGTATTTTGGTGAAGGATTCACAAAAAGGACCTACAACATCAGTGGAGCAAAGTACTCCTGGTTTTGTTGTCTTTGATCTTGTGTCAAAAGGTAAACGATGCGCCATTCCGAAAATACAGGGCTCACAAGTTTCTTTAACTCTCTTTAACTCTTTCTTCTTTGTCAGGAATGACCGATTCAATCGATGCCTTGTACAAAGACCCGCCTTTCCCACGACTTCTGCACAGTACTGTTCTTCCCTCTACTTTCAGCAAGCACTTAGTTGGTGTTGAAAAAAAGCTGGCAGCAATGCCAAACCATGTTAGCTCCCTTTCTTTGGTTTCTAACAGATCAAAGTAAAGAAAACAATTAATTTCAAACAAAATACTATGCCTGTGGGTAAATCATTAATAAGTGCAACTGGGAAACCCGCGAGTCAAAGTCGAGTGCAATAACAACAAAAGTAATACGAACGCCGGCTGTCTTCTGTCCGGAAGAATGCTTATATCGCAATTGTTTTAGAGACAGTTAGCAACGAACACGCAACAACAAAAGCAATGTCATTGGCTGCTTCCGAGAGAGCGCGCTCTCTGTCACCTGCACTCCTAAGCTCAAGCAGCGCTGCCGTGACCCAGTCGTGGAGCTACCAATGCCCATCTCCACTCTCACCACTCATTGCACTGACTACGTCAGCTCTTGCGCTGACTAGCACGGTGCCCTCTCTTACAACTGTTGTTTCGACGACGACAACATCAACTTCATCGTCGGTGGCAAATCTGTGGCCGATATTATCATCGCAATTGAAAGGTGTCTCTGCTGCCTCTCTCCCACAAACTAAGCTTGTACAGACCGTGATCGATCGGTATGTACAAATAAAAAGAAAGCTTAGCCCGCAAAAAACTAATGCAAACCTGCCGAAAGTATCGAAAACTTCAGGCAACAACAACAAGGCAACTTCTGAAAATAGATTGGCTATACTTTGTGACCTTGGAGAAGATGAGGGTCAACCGCCCCAACCCACTAAAGATGTAAAGCCACCGCCTATCTACATTACGGAACAAAATTGCTCGGAGCTTATTAACAATCTTAAACAAAACAAGAAAGGAAGCTAGCTTCGGCAAGCCGAAGCTTATATACCCTTGCAGTCATGAAATATGTCGAACAAAAAGCATAAAGGTTAAACAACATCGAAGCTAAGACGATTTTTCTATTGATTTTCCATATTTTCGACTATAGATCATATGGGAGCTATATGATATAGTTGTCCGATTTTGATCAAAATTAATTCGTAATTCAAGAGTCGTAAGAAAACTCTATATTCCAAAAATCATACTTGTCTGATGAAAAACAACGATGTTATAATTTTATTTCCGTTATTTCTATATAGATTTTTCTATCTTTTCTATGGCAGATATAAGATATAGTTGTCCGATTTTTATGAAACTTTTTCTCAATTTAAGAGTTGTTAAAAAACTTGATATTCAAAAAATCATGCTCGTGGGATAAAAAACAACGATGTTATCAATTTATGTCTATATATTTTTTTCGAACTCTCCTATGGCAGCTATATGATAGAGCTATCCGATTTTGATCAAATTTAATCCGAAATTCAATAACAGTTTGAAAACGACATCAAGTCGATCTGATCAAAAACAACGGTCTGAGAATTTTTTATTTCATTCTCTCGTATGGGAGCTATCCGATATAGTCGACCGATCCGGCCCGTTCCGACTTATATACTGTGTGCAATAACTACACACCTTTTGGGAAAGCTTCAGCAAGATAGCTTTAAAACTGAGAGACTAGTTTGAAGAGAAACAGACAGACGGACAGACGGCCAGACATACAGACGTTTTCTGATTCTACTCGTGATGCTGATCAAGAATATATATACTTTATGGGGTCTGAGGTGTCTCCTTCACTGCGTTGCAAACTTCTGACTGAAATTATAATACCCTTTTGCTCTGCAAGGGTATAAAAACTATTGAGTATTTGTTTGACATGAATTTTTTTATCCGAAAGCGTTTGTGGCTTATCCGCATAGACCAATAACTTTACAATAAAAGTAAACGTGGTGCGAAAACGTCCCATGGTTTAAAGTTAAAAATAAAATATAAGACTCTGTTGAATAATTTAACAAAAATACGTCAAAAAAGACAATAAATTATAATTATGTTTAAAAAAAAAAATGTAATACATGCATAAATAACCGAACAGCTAGGATTTAAAGTTAGAATTTGAAATTTTTTTGGGTGTACGCAGAGATATGCGGGCGAGTGTATATATAATTCAAAATTCAAGAGTCGTTAAAACACTCTATATGAGAATATTCATGATTGTATAACAAAAACAAAGGCGTTATATTTTTGTTTTAATATTTTATATGAATTCGATAGTTCCTGTGGCAGCTATATGGTATAATAATCAGATTTTATGAAAGTTTTTTTTTTTTATTAATTGTAGTTAAAAACTTATCATGATTGCGTAATAAAAAACCAAGACTTTGTTATTTAATTTTTTGATTAATTTTATATCGATTTTTGGGTTTTTTTTATGTGGAAATATGAAATAATCATTCGGTTTTCATGAAATTTAATTCAAGAGTCCTAAAAAACACGATCTGCATGAAATAATAATTAATAATAATTAGTAATAATTTTGTTTTCTATGTTATGGTAATGCTGATGATATAAACCACAAGTTATAAAGATGCCTATTGGAAGACTTATGACAATTGAGTCGAGGGTCATCGCTTGAAAAGTGCGTCCCCACTCGTCGAGTGGAGATAGCACATAATTTCCCTTGCATTTGCAATGTTTCATATTTTGATTTGAGAAATTCAATTTTTAAAATACATATATATTAACCGAGTAGATAAACAAACTTTTAATATAAAATTAAACATACTTTTTTTATAAAATAAAACAGCTGTGCCGCAAAAATTTTTCCTAATAAAAAAGTTGCGAATTTCTAAAGCTAAAGTGGAGTCAACGAATTGAATTGAGATATTCGTCGAGTGGAGATAACACATAAATTCCCTTGCATTTGCAATGTTTCATATTTTGATTTGACAAATTTAATTTTTAAAATACATATATATTAACCGAGTAGATAAACAAACTTTTATTATAAAATTAAATAAACTTTTATTATAATATAAAACAGCTGTGCCGCAAAAATTTTTCCTAATAAAAAAAGTTGCGAATTTTTAAAGCTAAAGTGGTGTCAACGAATTGAATTGAGATATTCAAGACACTGGTAAAAAAGTTATAGTTTCTATTCCAACAGTAACAGCGATCGACAAATTAAAAATTGAAATTGGAGATTGTTTTGCGTAATTGAAAATTGGAAATTAAAACTATTGTTTTAATAAACAGTAACGGGTTTTACGCATAGCAAATAAAAAATTGCTGAAATGTGATAAACTTACACTTAATATAGCTTTTTTTGTTAGAAGACAAATAAATAGCAAGTATTCCAACCCGGATTTAAGTGGTGTAAGTTCTTTGTGAGAAAAAGGTATTAAAGACAATAATCGAATGGTGGTGCATAAGTGTCTTAAATATCGATATAGACTTCCTTCCCAACACTAATTTCCTTCTTTTGACATCTGTAGCCAACGTGATTCGACCTTTTCCGGTTTATTCGTTGAACATGGCAGTCGGTAAAAATAAGGGTCTTTCCAAGGGCGGCAAAAAAGGTGGTAAGAAGAAGGTAGTGGACCCCTTTTCTCGCAAAGATTGGTACGATGTTAAGGCACCGAACATGTTCCAAACCCGTCAAATCGGCAAGACGCTGGTCAACCGCACTCAGGGCCAAAGAATAGCGTCGGACTATTTGAAGGGTCGCGTCTTCGAGGTGTCCTTGGCTGATCTTCAAAAGGATATTGACCCAGAACGATCCTTCCGCAAGTTCCGTCTGATTGCTGAGGACGTTCAAGACCGCAACGTGCTTTGCAATTTTCACGGCATGGATCTTACTACAGACAAGTACAGGTTAGTGAACAATTACTTTAATTTTTACCATTAGCGTTCTTTATAAATATTTGTAATTTGGCTAGGTCAATGGTGAAGAAATGGCAAACACTTATTGAAGCAATTGTTGAAGCTAAGACTGTCGATGGGTATCTTTTGCGAGTATTTTGCATCGGATTCACCGCCAAGGACCAGCAGTCTCAGCGCAAAACTTGCTATGCCCAACAGTCGCAAGTACGCAAGATTCGCGCCCGAATGACCGACATTATCACCAACGAAGTTAGTGGTGCCGACTTGAAGCAGCTTGTTAACAAATTGGCTCTAGACTCAATTGCGAAAGATATTGAAAAGATCTGTCAACGTGTATATCCTTTACACGATGTTTACATCCGTAAAGTCAAGGTACTGAAGAAGCCGCGTTTTGATGTCTCAAAGCTTTTGGAGCTGCATGGTGACGGTGGGGGCAAATCTGTCGAGGCCGTTGTTTCCTCAGAAGGAGCCGTGATCGACCGCCCGGAAGGCTATGAGCCACCAGTGCAGGAAGCTGTCTAAAGTGGATAATAATATGCATATTATTTTGTAATGTACTGCATTCAGATATAAAATACATTACTCCACCAACTGCGAAATCTATTTTTGAGGGTTTTTGTATTTAAATGTGGGTATTGTTGAAAAATCTTCTATATTTTAGGTACCTTGCGTCTCCTATCCGGAAGTTTGGTATGTATATCACAAAATATATTCCTGAAACCCCCACTTATTTAATTTTATATTTAGCGCTTGCAGCGAAGAGGTCTTGTCCACTTAATTCCTTAGGATGCATTTTACATCTAGTAGGTAAGTTGAGAAATTATATTTACTTAAACCCTTGTAATCAACTATTTGAAAAATAGAATTCAATAGGTGTAAAAAAAAAAAAAACAAACTAAAAATAAAGCTAGTTTCGGTGAGCCGATGCTGATATACCCTTGCAGATAAAAAAAGTCTAGACTCGTCATATATTCATAGGAATATATAATAGCTCAGTGGTCCCCAACCTATTTTGTCTACTGCCCACTTTGAGAATAAATATTTTTTTAGCGCCCCTCTTTTTTCACCTATTTAAAAACCACTATAACTTCAAATGAAATTAATTAATTATTGTGACCTATATATGTATATTAACGGAGAATTCTAAACGAAACTTTTATTATCGTAACGAATACGCGTGAATTCCTAATAACGTCTAAGACATGCAGATTTTTAAAAATTAATTTTATATAATTGTTCTGATCGTTTCTATATTCGTCTAAACTTCATTAAATTTAACTTGAAAACTAGTGACTTGAGGTGTTAATTTAAAGTTCATAACAAATTACTTTGAAAACAATGATGTTTTAATTTTGTTCTACAAATTATTTGGTTAAATATTTCAATTTGTATAAAATTAAAAAAAAATTTATTCAACCGTAAAAAAAACTCGATGTTTAAAAAAATATGCACGTACGATAAAAAAAAAACAACGGCTTCATAATTTTTTCCGGCTTTTTTTTTATCTCTTCTATTGGAGCTGCACGTTATATTCGTCCATTCCGGGTCGATCCGACTTAAATACTACCTATAATAATTAGGAAAATATAGGCTTTAAACAGACCCTAGTTTTATTTACTGCGTTGCAATCTTGTAAATGAACTTTTAATATACTCTGCAAGGGTATAAAAGCATACAGCCCACTTTCTTGACTGAGTTGCGTGAAAAATATATTTGTAGTTCCTAAAAAAAACATGATGATCCATTATTTTTCGTCTCTGTCAATCAATGATGAAAATCTTTTCCTGATGATTAAATTTTGATTGATATTCAGCGTTCTTTTATAACAAAATTTAACAAACGTTGTGTTCTGTCTCTCGTTGCAGTTTTAATTATCAGGATTGAAAACCCCGAAAACGTAAGTATTAAATGTAAGATATTTTTGGAACCAAAAAAACGTTTATGCTAGAAGACAAAAATTAAATTTAAGAAAGTGCTTGGGGTGGTATAGATATTTTTATATAAATATATAATATAGATATTTTTATATAAATACGTCTGTCTGTCGGTCTGTGCGTTTTGTCTGTTTCTTTTTAAACTCGTCTCTCAGTTTTGAAGCTATCCTCCTGAAACCTTACCAAAAGTTGGGTAGTTATTGCACTCAGTATATAAGTCGGAACGGGCCGGATCGGTCGACTATATCGGATAGCTCCCATACGAGAGATTGAAAAAAAAATTCAAGATGGCGTTTTCGAACTGTTATTGAATTTCGGATTAAATTTTATCAAAATCGGATAACTATCATATAGCTGCCATAGGAGAGTGCGAAAAATATATATAGAATTAAAGGAAATAAATTGATAACATCGTTGTTTTTTATCCCACGAGCATGATTTTTTGAATATCAAGTTATTTAGAAAAAAGTTTTTTGAGAAAAAAGTTTAATAAAAATCGGACAACTATATCTTATAGCTGCCATAGAAAAGATCGAAAAATCTATATAGAAATAAAGGAAGTAAAATTATATCATCGTTGTTTTTCATCAGACAAGTATGATTTTTGGAATATAAAGTTTTCTTACGAATTAAATTTGGTCAAAATCGGACAACTATATCATATAGCTCCCATATGATCTTTAGTCGAAAATATGGAAAATGAATAGAAAATCGTCTTAGCTTCAATGTTGTTTAACCTTTATGCATTTTGATCGACATATTTGATGACTGTAAGGGTATATAAGCTTCGGCTTGCCGAAGCTAGCTTCCTTTCTTGTTAGAACCCTTGAAAATACCCTTGAATCGAGAAAAATTTTCATAAAAATCATGGTTTTTTTTATTAGAAAAGCATAATTTTTGAAATATAAAGTTTTCTATTGAATTTCAAATTAAATTTCTTTTATATTTCATAAATTTCTTTCAACAATCGTCGAAAATACAGAAACTTTATAGGAAAATCGACATAGCTTTGATGTTGTTTAGCCTCTGTGTATTTAGTTCCGCATATTTGATTACTGTAAGGGTATATTATATAAGCTACTTTCCTTTCTTGTTCTGATATGATATGTTATTTGTGTTTTATTATACCCTAGCAGAAAATATTACAAATTTAGTCAGAAGGTCTCTTATCCCTGTAAATTGTGTAAAGTGAGTCGAGGCACTCCAGTATTTCGTTTTATCTTGGTGGTATGACTTAATCAATGCTTTTCTTTTTTTTTTATTTTTGCAGATTGATTGGAATACATAAGTTCAACGACTTTATGAGGGAAACATCAGAAAATTTATAGAAAATAAGATAAGAAAATGTAAATAACTTTGTTTTAGTAGTATGTAGTAAGTATTAATGGACATGGCACTTAGCTTAAGTGTTTTATGATATTAAATATATAATAATACAATATAAGTGAAATATTTTCATTTTATAGTTTTTATTATATTTATATTACATTAAATTATTGTTATTTTTATTTTTAATCAGTGTCCCGTGCCTGTGGTAGTTGTCTCACCTCTGAATCTAAACAACAAATATAAAGTGGGCCTGGAAAAATAGATAACTTTAAACGGTCTTAATCAACGCATATATTTTTGTTAAATAAAATTTATATACCCTTGCAAAGCAAAGGCCAAAGTTTGCAATGCAGTGAAAGGACACCTCAGACCCCATAAAGTATATATATTCTTGATCAGCATCACGAGTAGAATCAGAAAACGTCTGTATGTCTGGCCGTCTGTCCGTCTGTCTGTTTCTCTTCAAACTAGTCTCTCAGTTTTAAAGCTATCTTCCTGAAACCTTACCAAAAGTTGGGTAGTTATTGCACTCAGTATATAAGTCGGAACGGGCCGGATCGGTCGACTATATCGGATAGCTCCCATACGAGAGAATGAAATAAAAAATTCTCAGACCGTTGTTTTTGATCAGATCGACTTGATTTCATCAAGATAACGTTTTCGAACTGTTATTGAATTTCGGATTAAATTTTATCAAAATCGGATAACTCTATCATATAGGAAAGATCGAAAAATATTTATAGAATTAATGGAAATAAATTGATAACATCGTTGTTTTTTATCCCACGAACATGATTTTTTTAACAACCCTTATACTGAGAAAAAAGTTTCATAAAAATCGGACAACGATATCTTATAGCTACCATAGGAAAGATCGAAAAATCTATATAGAAAAAACGGAAATATAACATCGTTGGTTTGTATTAGATAAGCATGATTTTGGGAATATAAAGTTTTCTAATGACTCTTGAATTACGAATTAAATTTCATCAAAATCGGACGAGTATATCATATAGCCGTCATTTGAACAATAGTCGAAAATATAGAAAATTAATAGAAAAATCGTCTTAGCTTCGATGTTGTTTAGCCGTTATGTATTTTTTTCGACATATTTGATGACTGCAAGGGTATAAAAGCTTTGGTTTGCCGAAGCTAGCTTCCTTTCTTGTTTTCTTTTGTGAAAAATCTTTACCTCCATATAAGGGCCTCCAAAAAATATTTTATACGGGGCCCCGACAAGGCACGCTACGCCACTGTAGCTGCGATAGAAAAGATCTAAAAATATATATGTAGGTATATAAGTAACAATTTTATAACGTCCTTTTTAATCCCACGATCATGATTTTTAAAATATGAAGACTTTTATAAACCCTTGAATCGAGAAAAAAAAAATTTCATAAAAATCGTTGGGTTAATTATCAGGATTGCAATCCCCGAAAACGTAAATATGTATTAATTTAAGATATTTTTGGAACCGCAGAAATAACGTTTATGCTAAAAGGAAAAAAATTAAATTTAAAAAAGTGCTTGGGGTGGTAATAGTACCTTGTGTATCTAGTGCGGTAAGAACGAGATTACACTCGTGAAGTTATACACGAGTGTGATCTCGTATTTACCGTACGAGATACACACGGTGCTTCTTGTCCATAAACCCGTTAAATTTGGCATTTTGAGTGCAAAACTGCCGATTACGCATGGGTTACGGTAAACAGCTGAAATCATCGATTTACGGCACGAAAAATGCCAATTTACCGGGTTGTATGACAAAAAGATATTTTGTATTTTATTGTACCCTATGCACGAGCATCCGGTCAAATGCTGTGTCAGCGATTTGGTCGTTGCTGGGTACATTCCATCGCCGACTCTGTCTGGTTGACTTCAGTGAACTACTTGCCCTCAAGACTGAGGCCGCCCTGGGCGGACACTATTTCGGCAATCACGTCCTGTAGTATGATAAACAATCTTCTGGCTCTGGTGAGTCGCTGATGGGTGATACCGATACAAATCAATGTGCAACTTGTAGCTCCTGTAATTAGCACCACCATGTGTGCCCGGTTGCTATTGATTTCCTCTCCAATCTTCTGAATGCATTCCAGACTACATTCACTTAAACGGTGAAGTTAAGGAAGACTCCAAATATTTTGACTGATGGTGATGTTAAGAAAGAGCGAATTGGCTGCCCCCGCAGTCCTCTTCTGGGCTGTGTCGTAATTAACGAACAGGGTTTCGTTAACGGTGGCGCGTTCATTGAAGGTGAGAAGGTGTGTTCCATGCACCCAGACGCTGGTTCCATTGTCCACTTGCACCTGGACTGACCGGTCATTGATGTCGATGATTCCT